TCCTGCATCCAAGGTCTGGCTTTTTCCCATGGTGACATAGGAGAGTCACCCCGCAGTGGTCACTCCAGCACAACTCCAGCAATGGTTATAAGACAACTGCAGCATGTTTTAGCTGCAACACTGTAGTTGAGATGTTCAAGAGCCACCAAGTGACCATCCATTCTTTAAATTATTATGGGTAGTCCATCTGTCTAAAGATTTCTGAGACTTGAGAGATCTCTGATACATTCCAGTCATTTCAACAAAAAAAAAAAAAAAAAGATTGCTGACAGATTTAAACCAGTGTTATTTTATTTTGGACAGTTACATTTTAGGAACTGCGAAATACTCTCCTCATGAACTTCTCATGTTGACTGCTTCACTCTATTAAATTTGGCTAAAAATAGAGAAAAAGAAGCTTTTATGTTATGTTTGTGTTATCCAGAATTTAAGAACTTGCTGTTGACCTTTTTTGCTTTTAATTTGTTGGATTGGTACATCATGGTAAGTCATTTACTTGCTAAAGGCCTTGAACTTGAAGACTGAAAGAATTATTTCTGTCTTCTAAGCCAAAGTGACATTGAGTGACTTGCTATTAAATTACTAGAGTTACTCTGTAGTCTAACAATAACTTGATATCCATTAAGGCCAGACCTGAAATTAAAATGATCAACGTCCAAATGTACTTGAAGTTTTCAGCTAAGTTCCTTCATAGTATGGACAGTGTAGGGTCATCTTTATTTTGAGCTAGGTGGGACAAAGCATCAGGAAAAAATCACGGTATGTGTCATTAGCAATGTAGATCAGAGCAGCCAAAGGAAAACTCAGTGGTGCACAAGTATGTCTCATGGTTATGGGCATGTATCCACTCAACTTTACCATAAGACAAATACTGACTCTGTTTGCTTCCTTCTCATTGCCTGTAGAAGGCTCTTGGTTGTTTCAGTATAAAGCATTATTGCTCATGTCATATATTCCGGGACCTTTGTTGTGCCTTCAGCCCACCCCGATCCACCTGAAGAACCAGAAGTTTTAAGTAAGAACAGCCACTCTGTAACTCTGTCTTGGTACAAGCCGTTGAGCGATGGTGGTTGTGACATCCTAGGCTACAATGTGGAGAAGAAAATCCCAGGTATTGGCTGGCAGTCATGCAGCAAGGGCATTATTCAGAACATGAAGTTTATGGTGGACAATCTCACCCCAGGTGAACCCTACAGATTCCGCGTCTCGGCTATAAACAAAGTTGGGGCCAGTGAGCCGGTGCACTTCCCTCAGATGGTGCAGCTAGGTGAGAATGGGGAGATGCACCCATGGAGGACTGCAAGCAGCTGTAGACCTAGTGTTTTGCATGGCATGCCTGCTTCCCCCATTCCAGGCATCTCCTGGAAGAGTTCAGTCTGCAACGTCATTCAATGCTTTGCTGCCAACATAATAGAGGAGAAAGAGCTTGGAAAAATTGTTCTGGGCTGCCATGAACAAAACGTGCTGTGTTATTAGTAATCAACATTTATTTTCTCCAACCTGCATCAAGCTGTCTGCATCCATGTGTTGCTTGGTCTTTTCAGGTGGAGTTAGGATGGTATGAGTCAAAAGGAGCATGTTGGGATGCATTCAGGGGAGCCAAGACCCTGGTACCAAAGCACTGGGTGGGCAGTGTTGACTTCTTCACCCATCTTTCTCTTTTGTTATATTATTTGTGTATCTTTTTCAATAACTCCCACAAAGAAATGCTGGATGATGCAGTTCTGCTGTCTGTTGGTGAAACTTTGGAAGCTACAGTGGGATGGAGAACCACTCCCTCAATCTTTCTTTTCTTGCAACTTTATCTGTGGTGGCAGAGAGCCCAACAAACTCCTCAAAGTGAGAATAATAATAAAAAAATCTTCTTCTTAAGGCTCAGACACGTAATGATGTTTTTGCAATGTAACAGCTGCCAGTGCTGGACCTAAATCTGCTGACTTTGCCTGCAAAAAGCCCAAGGTATTTTCTGCAGTGGCCCCCTCACCCCGGTGAATCTGCAAAGGGGCACATCACGTTCAGGAGTGTGCTGCTTTTGAGAATTCATCTGTGTGCTTTACATCCCAGGCCACATCTCCCCATTTAATGCATTTGTCTTGACTTCATTCTGAGTATTGCAGTCATACAAGCAGCGTGCCGCCAGCAAACTTCCTTCCAAAGTACAAAAGATACTGATAATTTTTAAATTCTTTATGCTTTTTGAGGATTTTTATTCTTCCTAAGCTAGTGTAAATATTTTTTATTTTTTTTTTTTTTTTTTAAGACTGGGATGAATACTGCTTTTAGTAATGTCTTTTTTATTCTTTTTTTATTGTTTCATTATTGTCTTCAGAACTGCTTCACTTCTAAACATTAAGATCTTCCAGAATCTGTAGAACTGCTTGAATACTGGTGATGGGTAAATGAAGATCAGCAAATAAACACAGGAATGTGAAATATGCAACCAATTTGCATGTATATATTTAAATAGAGCTGGTATACCTGCTGGGTGATCTTGGAAAGTTATTTTGTTATTATCTTTGGAAGTGCAAATTTTGAATGCTGCCAGTCATTTTTTTTTTTTTTCCTTTTGGTTGTCTACAGCAGCTAAAGAATCTATAAATGGAGGATGAGATGCTTGGATATTTATAGTGTGATCTGGAGTTCTCAAAGTCAGATTATTGTATGTTCTTTGTGCTAATTCACTTTTTTGTAATTGCAGAGCCTCCAGTTACAGTCATCCATCCTTTAGTGGGAGGATCAGTCTCAGAAGGAGAGGTGGCTCGCTTGGAGTGCAAATTGTCAAGTGAAACTGAAAAGAAAGTTACATGGCTCAAAGGAAAAGAACAAATACAAGCTGGAGGGAAATACGAGATCCTGTCTGATGGGAAAAAGCAGATACTCATTATTCATGCATTTAAACATGAAGATCAGGACACATATACCTGCATGGTTTCTCCAGAAGTCAAATCTGTTGCCAGCTTGTGTCTTGATGGTATGGAACATGCATTCCTATGGTGCTAAATAGTTCTGTTTATGGACCTCCCAGGGCATCTCCACAGCTTGGACTGAAATTAGTTTTCTTTTACAATCTGTGATAACAATTCACAAAGAATTGTTATCTTCCTGTTCAGAATTGCCCAGTACATTTCTGAATCCCTAACAGCTTTGAGCTGCTCAGGCAAGATTTTCCTGAGCCATATATTTAAGGTGCAATACAGTTGTTTCTATATGGTTTTCTGGTGTCTTTTGAGATGCTTTAAGGTATTCTGCTCGGCCTTCAGCTGCCATTTCAGAAAGTGAGGGCTCTTTTGTATACTCTGTATGGTATCTGCCAGCTCCCTGTCCTAGGCACCCCAAATGTCTTTGGGTCATAGTGGTTAGGAAGCTGAATTGTGCCCCTGTGGTGGGATTCAGTGGCATCTAGTGCCATTGAGGCACTTCAGGATATCTCCTCTGGCCTCCATCTCCTTCTCCAAAGGGACCCAGAGCACTCATAGTTCTTGTGTTGTATCTGAGAGCCACACATGGATGTCTCAGAAGCCTTGAATATCTGAAAAAGCACTGGGCACTACACAGCAGCATGTCAGTGTGTCCCAGGGGGTCGTTACAACCTTCAGACTTAGACGCACCTGAGCGAGCAGGTGTCTCCATGTGAGGTGGGATTCTTGGCTCCTATTATAGCCAGTGGAGAGCTATTCAAGACAGAAAGTGAAGCCATATCTACCTGTAAAATAGGATGAGATTAAATAGTTTTCCAGGCTCCACTGACAGCCTTAACTAGATATTCATCAACTGCAACATTTTAAAAGGACAGAAATTTATTTATTGGATTCAAAAAAGCTGTTGTTTGGCCATATTTTAAGTGCATGCATAGAATCACGGGATAGTTGAGGTTGGAAAGGACTTCTGAAGATAGTGTAGTCCACCCTCCTGCTCAAAGCAGGGTCACCTAAAACAAGTTGCCCATGGCCATGTCCAGTTATATTAAATTTACACTTTGTTCTCAACAGAAAGCATAGTTAAATGCCACTGATACTCTTCTTCCCAGGCGTTAGAATAACATTTCCATTTATTTCTCAAAGTTTACCGACAGCCTTTGTCTTTTAACATTTTAACAATTTAATTCTCCTCAGTTCCCACAGTGTCAATGTTTAAAGAGATTGCCAGGGAAGCATCCCCTGCAAGTCAACCAGAAGAGCTGGTGGATGGCCATGTCCAGCCCAGCTTGCCCCCTGAGGCTGCTCAGGAGGGAGATCTTCACCTTCTGTGGGAAGCCCTGGCCAAGAAACGCCGGATGAGCCGGGAGCCCACCTTGGATTCCATCAGCGAGGTGCCTGAAGAGGATGAGAAGCTTCAGAAGTTGAGGAAGGAGGAGGCGGAGATGTCTCACTATTACTCAGAGGAGTACTCCACATGTGATGAGCTGGCTAGGACAGGAGAAGCAGATTTCTCTTTCACAAGTTCAGATGATGAGTCTAGAGCTGGGACTCCTTCATTAGTAAACTACCTCAAGAAGGCTGAGAAGACAAGTATCAGTGTTACTAGCAAGGTTCAGTCTATCTCCACAGGCAAATTATGGAAACAGTGGGAGGAATCCAGTGTGGAGACTGTTGTGGCTGCCCCAGCTGCTAAGCCATCTGAACAAGAAATGCCAGATTTAGATGACCCTTCCATGAACAAGGCCGCTGTGAAGATCCAAGCTGCTTTCAAAGGCTACAAAGTCAGGAAAGAGATCAAGCAACAAGGGTGTCCCGTGTTTACTGAGACCTTCAAAGATTTCTCCGGTGAGCCTGGAAGCACTCTCCACCTTGAGTGTGTGGCCCACAGCAAAACTGACATGAAAGTCCGTTGGCTGAAAGATGGGGAAGAGCTTTCAGATGGTCGTTACTATCACATAGACAATTACACTGATGGGACCTGCTCTTTGATTATCACTGGCCTAGACAGGAAAGATGCAGGTAAATACACATGTGAGGCATCCAATAAATTTGGCAAGGTTTCACACAGTGCTAAGGTGGTTATCAGCACTCAGGAACCTCATGTTCTTCATAAGGAGGAGCAGGTTAAACACAGCACTGACAGTGAGACAGAGAGCTCATCTGGCAGTGAGCTGGATGATGCTTTCCGTAAAGCAGCAAGGAGACTTAATAGACTCTTCAGGGCCAAGATCTCAACTGAAATATCTGATGTGGAGGAAGAGCTCTTTGTCAGTGCAGATGAAGGGGACATAGATGTGGTTGACCATCAGACGTATCGTGAGGATGACCAGTACATCTACATCAAGTTTGAAATCTTGTCTGAGGCAAAAACTGCTGCCACTCGATTCAGAGAGATGTTTGGTGCTCTGGGAATTCCTGTGGAGATTGACATTTTGGAACAAAGCCCTAAAAAAGTTGAATTACGTATCGGGAAAGCCACACCACCCACCCGTGGGAAGTTCGCACCACCACTAGCGAGACCTCCACCACCTTTGCTGACTTCTGATACAGGTTGGTGAAGCAAACCTGTTTATTCTCTGAAAAAGACAGCTAGAGCAGGTCACAGTGTTACCTTTTCACTCACAAATAGCTTCCAGAAAGCCTTTGTTTTTCATTTGGTGTAGATATTTTCCTGAAAACTTTGCACTTCGGCAAAAACTGATGAATTTTTTATTCTTTGTTGTTTTGAGGGAGAGGAGGGAGGTTAGTGATGAAGGAGGGAGGTGCAAAGTATTGATTTATCTACAAAGCTGCTTTTCACAATAGAAATGTCCCCTACAACAATATGGCTATGCTATGATTATTATACTCAAGTAAATGAAACAGTTTTCAGAACTTCCTGAGGGAGACAAGATATTTTGGCAAAGACAGGAACAGAGGCCATGTATGGTTTGCACCTGTGGTATTGCAGTGTTTATGGTGTTATGGAATATCTTCATAGTATTTATCAGGGAGTTTCTACTTGAGTGTTTTCATAGAGAAAAGATATCACTTTGCAATAAAAAATTAGAAATCAGAAGTCTTCAGGCACTGAGCAGCAGTGCTTTTAAAATACATCTTTTAACACAACCAAGTTTTCCCTTTCTTCTTTCCTAACAACCCTGACTTTAGCTCCTGTGTTCCTGACTGAGCTCCAAAACCAAGAGGTACAAGATGGATATCCAGTCAGCTTTGACTGCATCGTTGTTGGCAAACCGCTTCCCACGGTTCGCTGGTTCAAGGATGGGAAAGCTATTGAAGAAAATGATCATTACATGATCAACGAGGACCAGGAGGGGTGCCACCAGCTGATCATCACAGCTGTAGTCCCCACTGACATGGGTGTTTACCGTTGCCTTGCTGAAAACAATATGGGAGTTGCTTCAACCAAAGCTGAGCTTCGAGTGGACTGTAAGTCTCAAAATCACTGTAGAAAAAACAAGGAAAGGGGTCCTGCTGAGTGGGGGATATTTTGTTGTTTGTTGGGTTTGGTTTCTTTTTTTTTTTCCCCAAGGAAAACACCATTTACATTAAGAAAAAAATTATGCATTGTCCATGAAATATTTCACTTGCAGACTTCTTGGGTTCAGTTAGGTTTTGCCAACTCCAAGGTAAGGCTTAGAGCAAAGCTTTTCAGATAAACAGAGGTGTTTTCCATAATCCAGGGGTTTATGGGATCCTGCTGCAGTAGCAGTGTGAAATTAACCTGCCATCACTCCAATTA